CATGCTTATCCCAGGGAAATATAATATTCTGCCTTTTTCATATTTCCTAAAATATTTCACTCCTCTAGAAAAGAGGTGGGTGCTAACTTCCTACACCTGAGTGTGACACAGATATTCTTGTATCAGTGAACAAATTCACACATGGAACAATGTGACATTTCTTCAATCTGCAAGAAATGGTTCTAAATCTGCTAATGTAGTTATTTTTGTGGTTCTGGTTGCTTTGAAGGCAGTGATAAAATATTCTGAAGATTTTATTTTTATTTTTGTTAGAAAGTTGGCATTTAAAACTTGTCCCATTCACTCTTTTGAATAGCCAGTGTGCCACATATAAAATATAATGTCATCCCAGGGGGAATTTCATGTTTACAAACAGAATTGTTCAGCAGTGAAATCCACTTACCTTCGATACCGGTTCAGGAATGGGAGCGCACGGGAGTATGCGCGTGCTATGCATGCGTGCACCTCTTCTGCACATGCACAGAACCTTCTGTGCATGCGCAGATGGTAAAAAAAAAACAAACCAGGATGTAATGACATCCTGGTGGGTGGGTGGAGCCTCCCGCTGCCGGCGCTACCAGTTCGGCAAGCTGGATAGAACTGGGGGGATTTCACTGCTGGAATTGTTTCTCACTGAGGCAGAGATCCCAGCCAATCCACCCAAGTTTACCAGTATTAGTTCTGCTACCACTATACTATAATGGAAATGAGGAAGGCTTTGTTTTCCTGACAAAGTGGATAAAATTATAAAATTCAGTACATATAGAAGCTGAAATAGAGAGATAGACAGTATTTCTGCTATAAGGTTTATTCCTATGTCTGTGCAGTCATTGGGGGCTTTATGAATGTTACTAAGTGTAGTTGCTAAAGATTCTGTGTCTGTTAGAGCCACAGCAACATTGTATTTTGTTATAATTATTTTCTCAGTGCAAGTTGAACAGTGCAAGTTTGGGTATCTTTAAAAAAGGATTTGAGCTAGGAGAAAATTAGATTGAGAAGTATAAGAAATAAGATGCTCTTAATATTTTCAGATGTGTATGTAGCTTTTCATTTATTGTGTGCCATGGCAAAAGCTTAACCCCAGTCTCTCAAAAAGTTTGGATCACAGTTAAGATCATGTGACTGGGCCCCTTGGGAATGCAATTCAAACCTGATAGCATCAGTCGCTAATCCAGGATCATCTGCACAAATAGCATCTCCTTGGTCCAGCTCATGATTCTCTTTGGAACAGGCCTTACATTTTGCAAGTCTGGTTTATCACCACAGATGTCTCCATTGGCAGCATGAGGGAAATATTTAGTAAATTAACCCATAAAATCTGCAAGCTCCACATGGTGATAATACACAGCATTTGCAAACAAGTTCTCTCTCTCAAAGTCTCTCTCAAAGTCTCTCTCTCTCTCTCTCTCTCTCACACAAACACTCTTCTCTGTTTTAGAAAGCTTTTCAGGAAAAAGTCTAGTTTTTTTAAAAAAAATTGATTTATATGCCGCCCTTCTCCGGAGACTCAGGGCGGCTTACAATGCGTGCAGAAGAGGTGCACGCATGCGCTGTGCATCTGTTGGGAAAAAAGCTGTGTACTATCTTCACAGATATATAGTATAAACAGCAGGATTTTAAAGAGTTGCTGCTTGCTAGTATAAAGCACCTGGAAACCCAAAAGAACATTATTGAAGCAGAGAATATAGTATAATACGGATGGAAAGGACCTTGGAGGCCTTCTAGTCCAATCCACTGCTCAAGCAGAAGGTCCTATATCATTTCAGACACATGGTTGTCCAGTCTCTTTTGAAAGCCTCCAGTGATGGAGCCCCAGTGGTGGGTTTCCATTGGTTCACCCTTGTTCAGGCAAACCAGTAGCGGCAGCAGCGGGAGCCTCCGCCCACCTGCCTGGATGTCATCATGGATGTGCTGCGCATACGGGTGCTCACAGTTCTGACCCAGTAGCAAAGTTAAATGAAACCCACTACTGTAAAGCACCCACAACTTCTGAAGGCAAGCTATTCCATTGGTTGATTGCTTTAACCATTAGGAATTTTCTTCTTAGTTCTAGGTTGCTTCTCTCCTTGGTTAGTTTCTATCCATTGTTTCTTGTCTTGCCTTTTGGTGCTTTGGAAAATAGTTTAATCACCTCATCTTTATAGAAGCCCCACAAATATTGGAACACTACTATCATGTCTCCCCCTAATCCTTTTCTTTAGACTAGCCATATCCAATTCCTATAACAGTTTTTTGTAGGTTTTAGCCTCCAGCCCCCTAATCATTGTTGCTGCTCTTCTCTGCACTCTTTCCAGAGTCTCAACATTTTTTTAATATTGTGGTAGCCAGAACTGGATGCAGTATTAGTGTTGCCTTACTAAGGCTTTGTAAAGCAGTACTAGAACTTCATGTGATCTTGATACTATCCTTCTATTAATGCAGCCTAGGATTGCATTGGCTTTTATGGCTGCTGCCACACAATGTTGGCTTATATTTAAATGATTATCCACCAGGACTCCAAGATCTATCTCACAATTACTGGCATCAATCAAGTTTCACCTAGTCTGTACCTATACAGTTGGGTTTTCCTTGCCTAAGTGTAAAACCTTACCGTTATCTATGTTGAATTTCATTTTGTTGGATAGGATCCAGTGTTCAAGTTTGTCAAGATCTTTTTGGATCTTTACCTTATCTTCTGGGGTGTGGCTATTCCTGCCAGTTTAGTGTCATTTGCAGATTTGATGAGTTCCCTTCTATTCCCTCATCTAGATCATTTATGAAGATATTCAAGAGTATTGGACCTGAAACAGAATCTTGGGATACCCTACTGCTTACTTCATTAGGATGTAGTTCCATTGAGGACTACATGTTGAGTACAATTTCTCTGCCAGTTACAAACCCATCAGATTGTGGTGCTGTCTATCCCATATTTTTCTAGTTTCACAAGAAGTTGGTTGTGATCTACTTTATCAAATGCTTTACTGAAATCTAAGTATACTATGTCCACAGCATTTTGATTATCTGATAATTTAATAACTTTGTCAAAGAATGAAATAAGATTGTTTGGCATGATCTGTTTTTGATGAACCCATGTTGGCTACTGGTTATAACTTTGTTTGTTTCTAGGTGTTCATAGATTTGTTGTTTGAATATCTTTTTCAATGTTATAGGTTCCCATCTAGATCTCCCTATTTATGCTATGCATGCTCCATCCTTATTTCCCTTACTAGCAAATAACACAGATGGTCATGAAGCAGCAGACCAATTCCTTGGCTTTGAGGTCTAGGGGCACAAGCCTAATACTAAATAAGATATTGTTCAAATGTATTTCTGAGTATTTATACAGCTCTTTATTTTTGCTAGCTGTCTTTCTGTTCTTTAAACAGAAAGAGCCCCAGTGTTTGAACAGGAATCCAATGGTCACATGGATTGTAAGATTTCATTGGTTGCTAATAGCATTTTATTTTTATAAAAAACAAATATTGTATGGTGAAGATGAGAGGGACAAGTATCATTCAGGTTTCAAAGAAAGTAAAGTCAATGCTAATCTGCAGATTTATAGGCTGGTTTCTGACTAAACCATAATGTGGTTTGCCTGGTGTTTAACTTAGTAAATGGATTTGGAAGGCACATGAATCCTGTTGTGTTTGTGATAAACCTAGGCTGAGTTTTTATTGTCAGCTGTAGATGCTTACCAATTAATTGCTTAATAATAGGGGAGCTTGGTGTGTGAATGTAATATTTGTGTTTAAAGCAGTTGTCTAATCTTGCAGTTGTTGTGAGAATTTTGTGTCTTACAAAATAGAATCAGAAGCATCATAAGGACTTGCTTTATACTGTAATTTAGGTTGTCAAGCACTAGTGTGAAAGCTCCAAAATTCATAGTGTTTCCCTGTCTTTATTTTTCTGGCATTTATCTATTCTCCAAAAATGCTTGAATATCTTGATATATAATCTAACTGGCTTGGAGGTTTAATTTTTTTTCAATAAGACTACTAAATCCAGAGTTTATGAATCCAAATGAGAACTAAATGGAAAGAAAGAGATACATTTTACGTTTTTTGGCCCAAAACAGCCCAGAAAATGGTCCGAAAAACGGCCTGAAAATGGCCCTAAAAACAGCCAAAAAACCAGGCTATTTTTCAGGCAGTTTCAGGCTGGTTTTCAGACTGTTTTCCAGGCCTTTTTGGACCATTTTCTGGCCCAAAAAACAACCTGAAAACAGCCTGAAAAATGCCCCAAAACCAGGCATGCATGCTGGACAGCTGCTTTTTGGGTTTCCAGTGCTCCAGCACACAGGACGACCAGCTGGCCAGCACACATGCACACACATTCTGGTTGGGGCACTCACTGCCGAAAAGGTTCACTATCACTGCACTATAAAGTCATACAGTTCCCAAATTCAACTTGGGCTGGTAAAACTCATATCTGAACCCTTGGACACCAACAATGCAAATTTATATTTACCAATCCCAGGATAAATGCAGCTTGCTGTGCTCCTGATCTGTTCCGAAAGAAATTAGAAAGAAAAAGAGATGGTGATAGTGATGAAATTAGGAAAAACAGCAAGAAGAAAAGGATGTTGAATAGTGATAAATTACTACCATAACAGAAGAAAAGATGCTGGAAAATGAGACAACGAGAGGGAGACTTGCTATTCTATGCATGCTTCCCCGGGGAGAATAAATTCACTGAGCTCAGAAGTAGTGCATAAAGGAGGGTTGCCATTTTATGCGTATTTGCTTAGAAGTTTGACTCATTCAATACAGAGGGTCTCAGTCTAAAAACACGCTAATTAAATCTAGTTGTACATCTGCGATGCTACGTGCGATTTTACTTGGGAACGATGCTATTATGCTCAGGGGAAATATGGAAAAAAAAAAAAAAGCAAGCCCTTCATTTTGTTTCTGCTAGGCACACCCTGCCCTACTCTAGTCTCCGCCTCTGCTTCCTGACCAAGGAGACGGTGGGCGTATTAGATCCACTGACGAAAAGTCAGGCGGGCAGATCTTTCTAGGTGGAGCCATCAATTCTGTTTTCCATTCCGCATTTTCCAACTCAGCATACTGAGTTAGATCCAGCTAGCGTTAACCGTCAGCTCCGGGATTTGCAGGCGTCCCACAGCTGCTTAGCGCATCTGGTCCGCCGAGCCTTCTATTTCTCCTCCTCTTCCTCGTTTAGACACACCACTAGCTGCTAGTACCCAAGAAGCTGCCATGTCTGGAGAAGAAACTGTCGGGGAAGATGCGGGAGCCACTCAAACCAGCAATGTTGCTCCTCCCGCAGAGCAGCAGCAGAACGAAGAAGCAGTGGCGGAGGCAACAGTGACTGGCGGGGAGGGAAAGGCTGCTGAAGGGACGTCGGAGGAGGCCTCCGCCGTTTCTACCAGTACCGCTGCTGCTGGTCGCCAGTATAGAGCACTGGTGCTCACCGGTTTTGGTGGTTACGAGAAGGTGAAAGTGCAGATTCGGCAGCTGCCTCAAGCGGAACCCAGTCCGGGCGCTGGCCATGTTTGCGTGCAGGTCCGGGCCTGCGGGCTCAACTTTGCCGACCTGCTGGCTCGCCAAGGGCTCTACGAGAGGCTTCCCTCGCCGCCCGTTAGCCCTGGCATGGAGGCGGCGGGAATCGTCCTGGCCGTGGGCGAGGGCGTCTCCAGCCCAAAGGTGGGTAAAGAGCTCTCGGCGGCGAACAACGGACGGAGGCCATCATTGCCTTGGCCAGCCTGTCTAGAGGATTCAGATGCGGGGAGTGGCTGGAAGCAATTTTTGCTCCGCGGCGGCGTATAACGGGCTGCCCACCCTAATCGGAAGTGATTGGGAGGCAGAAAAATGGTTGCTGGGCGTAGCCACTATCCTGATATTTGGGTGCAAGAAAATGGGTGGGGTACCTCGAGGCGGTCGGGAAACGGCCTGCAGTGTTGGGAAGACCCAGACTTGAGGGTCTAAAGCGGGGGGGGGGAGGTGAGAGACAAATCCTAAATGTGAGTTGTGAAGAAAGAAAATGTGTAAAGCTGACTAAGGGTCCCACCCTGTGGATCAAGACATGGGGCGAAGGATAAAAGTATCTTTTCCCCTGTAACTGGCAAAAAAATGGATGCGGGCCTGCTTGCTAAAACAATGAGACGTCAGAATCCACAGCCAGCTAGCATACTCTTGGCCTCCCTGCTAAACTAGTGCCGTCCAGAAGTGAGGGAACAGATTCAGAAAAGCAGATTCAAAAAAGCGAATTCTGGGATCTCTCCCGTTAAAGTCTGGGGAGTGGGTAAGGGTTACTATGGGAGGCAGACATTTTTAAACTGAACGATCATGGATGATCACCAGGACATTTTGTTCCCTAAATGGGGTTTTTCCCTGGCTTCCCTTGGCCTCATGCTTAATCCTTTGAAGTACTTGAGGCCCCCAGGGATGTTAGGTAGAGAAGACCTACCTCATTCCTCATTTCAGCCACTGAACTGAAGATGGGTGGGGCTTATCCTAAAAAGGGATTCAGAAGATTTTTGAAATACAAATCCAGCCGAAGCCCTGCTGCGACAGTGACCTTTTGCCCAACCCCCTCCCAAGCCTGGAGCTCTCAGCCTTGCCCAAAAGGGTGAGATGCAGTGGGCGGAGCTGTGGATCCTTAAGAGAGGCCTTTTCAGCCTGATTAGGAAACAGGAAATGGCCTGCCAGTGGGATCAGGATGCAGGTTTTCACATTCCTTATTTGTAGAATTTTGTATTTCTAGCGTCAATATCTTTTCCTTCTTGGTCTTCTTGCAAGCTATGTGGTATAGTGATGCTTTCTTCCCAATAGTTTAATCTCTGGATTGTTTTTCAGTGCCTCTGTTCAACCTTGAAACACATGGAAATATTTACATACATATTCACTCACTCTGCTCACTCATTAGAAATTGCATAGAGTATTCTACTCTGGGAGGTTCCCCTTGTTCACTCTGGGAAGAATTCAAGGATTACAACTGTTCTACTTCTACATCTGCTCCCCACCCCTCCTTTTCTTTTGGGGGCATCCCCAGTCATTAAGCTGAAGCTTAATGTGCTTTCACTGTACTTCTTATCTGAGTTCATAAATCATGTGTTGTAAAACAAGCTTGAAGCATATCTAATCTGCTTTAAATGGGGGTGGGTGGAGTAAAGAAAACTGGACTTGGCCCCTGTTTCTGCTTTAACCCAAGGGCAATTGCAAAGATTCTAAGGTTTTTTTAAAGTCACTGATTAATTAAATAAGATGGCATAGCGGTGGGAAATCTCTGTTCTAGTCTTAATCTTTTTTGCCTCATAACAATCCTTTGATGAGTCTGGATATGCCAGACTCTGATAGGTACAAGGTCAATTGTGAACTGGTGTTACTGGTTCTTGTCTAATTTCTATATTTTCATATTGGGCAAATGTAGATCATGCCTAAGAAATTTCATAACCGTACTACCTTCCTCCTATCAATGCTTGAAATATATCGCTGAATATCTCTTTAAACACAAATCTATTTCCTTTCATTAACTTTTGAAGCTTGACTTTCTAAACAGTTTGATTTATATGTTAAGAACCTGGCAATGCATGCATTTATTGGTGTAGACTTGTTCCTAGGCAGATTCTAATAAACAAATTTAAATCAGATCTAGTTTTGAAGAATTAAGTCTGCTTTTCTTCGCAAATCGGTGTTAATAAAATTTAACGATTGCTTTACATAGATTATGTACAGAACGATCAACCGACAGTGTTTAAGAAGGACTGGATTTCATGAGGGGTGGTTTTTTTGAGCACCTACAGGAAGACATTTTGCAGTTAACTACGACCAGAGGTATTCAGCAGGTTCTGACCAGTTATGGAGAACCGGTAGCAGAAATTTTGAGTAGTTCGGAGCACCAGTAAATACCACCTCTGACTGGCCCCGCCCCCATCTATTCTCTTCCTCCCGAGTCCCAGCTGATCTAGAAGAAATGGGGTTTATGCAATAACCTTCCCCTGGAGTGGGGAGAGAATGGAGATTTTACAGTATCCTTCCCCTGCCACGCCCAACAAGCCACGCCCAACAAGCCACGCCCACAGAACTGGTAGTAAAAAAAATTTGAATCCCACCACTGACTACGACCTGTCATCAATCTTACCCTCGAAATAAGAAAATTATTTTTGTGGTGTCTGTTCAGAACTTGAAAAGCTTCAATGTATCTCACAACAATTTAACTGGCAGGGATTCTACACAGTCCTCAAAGGTCCTGTCTCATTCTATTGTTCTCTATTGAGCAGGATATTAACGGAGATTTGTAAGAAGAAGATGTGGCATTTCAACCTATTTGGTAGAACAAGACTGACACAGTACAAAGGCTGGACGTACCAATATGACACTCCTAGATATCTTATCTACTAATGATAATCCTGATTGGGACTAAGATTTATAATTGGATAAATCAGGAAATGCAAGTTTGAGGAATTTCTAAAGTGTTTGATCTGTGTGTTTTTTTAAAATGGCAAGGTTTTAAAATTTTGTTTCACTTACAAGAGAAGGGAACGATACCAAGGAATAGTCCAGGCAAACTAAATTGGACCAGAACATTAAAATATTAGTGAAGCTGACTTGTTTGGGGTGGCAACCTGTAATGGTGTGAAAGACACAATTCAGCCTAACAACCTGTTGAAATGCTATAGGGATGTTTCTGGTAATGGAATGATATTGCACTGAAAAAAAAAATCAGATTCTTTTTCATGGCTTTGAAAATGGCTAGAACAGCAGCAGGAAAATGCCTGTCATTTCTGTCCTTCACCACCTCCATACTCTCCAAAATGGTCTAAAATATATTGCTAATATTAATCCATTTTGCTGCTAAAATTTGGCAGTGTGATTTTAGTGTGTATGTATTTTTCTAAATTAGGGGTGTAGTTAAATTAGGGTGGAGAAGGGAGTATTTTAACTTTCAGGGGCCTCATACTCCCATTACAACTCTTTTCAAAAGAAAATAAAAGAAAATTCCTTAATTATTTTTGCGGCAAAATTTCATATAGTATGTAATCTTCAGGGGGAGGGGATTGTGGGAAAGGATTAAGAGTTGAAATGAGAGTGGTTGGCTTGCCATTTTTGTCCTCAATTTTTCAACAAAAAAAAGAACAAATTTCAAAAAGAAAATTCAGTTGCATTGCCACCAAATTTCAGCAGCACAATCCTAGGATGTTTAGAAGCTGTGTCTTGCTTGTTATTTACTATACATTCTGAAATATTTTGCAATCTAATTTATTTTCTAGACATGTGTGTATTTATATGTATGTAGACATCATGAAATTAAGGTAACTAGAAGCTTTTCCATCAAAGTATTAGTTGCATCAAGTTAAAAGTATAAATGCCTCCAGTTAAATGCATCATGTTAAATGCAGGATCAGTCTTTACCCTGCTGCCTTTTTGCTGTGTGGGATTTCAGGTTTGCACCCTCCAAACTATGCCTGCCTATTAGGCTATGGAGTTCTATAGATCAAATGCAGAGAAACTATTGGAATATGTAGGAAGAGTCACATAATACATCAATTTATGAAAGCAAATCACATTTTTTTCTGGAATAATACAACCACTTTCTTAACCTCTCATTGCAGCAGAATTGAAGAAGGAAACCATGGCAAGTGTAAGCAGCTGCTAGGGGATATATGTACTATGTATGCTTTGAAGCACTTTTCTCCCTTCTGGTCTAAAGTGCTGCATAACCCTAATGTTGCCCTTATCATCCCAGACAAGCTAGAAAACAGTCTTGTATATTTTGATGGATTGTCCAACGAAGAACACACTTTTCAGAAAGCTTAATAGTTATTTTCGGGGGGTTGTTTTTATACATTCCCTCTCTTATGCGCCTAATTTTTACCACACACTGTTCTTATTAGGGATATGGTAACTAACACCTCGGGGAAGGTTAGTTTAGATTTAACCTAGTCTAAATCACCATTTGACTCTGGAAATAAACATGAATGGAAAACAGTCTTTGAGTTCCTCCTTTCCTGCATCTCTGGCATGATTGTGAAGAGGAAATTATAAACTACTAATTTAGATTGGTGAGATATGGTGGCCTGAATGTAGAAATGTGGTCACTATAAGTATACTTGGTGAAAGCGAAAAGGTAAAGGTTTCCTATAAGTCGTGTCCAACTCTAGGGCACATTGCTCATCTCTGTTTCTTGGCAGGAGCAGCCAGCATTGTCCAAAGAACATTTCCGTGATCATGTGGCCAGCATGGCTATACACAAAAGATGCATGGAACCCTGTTATCTTTCCACCAAAGTGGTACCTATTAATCTACTTTGCATGTTTTCAAAGTGCTAGGTGGGCAATTATATTGAAAGAAAATATAACCATAGTTTACTTAATTGTTAGCAGAGGTTTTTTTTTATATATAAAGGGGTAAGGGCTACTCCTCACAACCAAATTTAATTATTTACTAAATTTATTGGCAGTCCATTTTATCACAGACAGTGGTAAGATGAGCGGCCCATAATATACCACAGCATCTTAACATGCACTACTCTAGTCTAGACTGTCTGTTCTCATGTGGGACAAGTGATTGATGGAATCAACTGGCTGTGATGCATCAGTATCCTGCAGGAAAAACAACCTTAGCATGTCCACAGCATCCTGTGGTGGTGACATGGTCTGATAGTCTTGTGCCAGAAAAAAAAGTACAGAGCCACAGATAGTTGAAGATGAATTTAGGCCCATCCCTGTGTTGAAGTGGGATAAGACAAAAGCAATGGTATGTAGACATATTGTTTAAAAATGTTTGGTGGTCTACCTTCACACTGCAGTTGAAAGAATGTGAGGACGAACCCCCAGTGCAGAGCTGCCACGGGCTGCAAAACTCTAGATGAGTGGTAAGTGATAGCAAAGAGATACAGAAAACCTAGTTCTAACATTCAAGGATCACCTATTTTCCAAAGCACCAGAAGGTAAGACAGGTAAGAAGGTAAGTTTCCAGAAGGATGGAAACTAATCAAGGAGAGTTCAAAACTAGAAGTAAGGATAAATTTCCTAACAGAACAATTAACCAGTGCAACAGCTTGTCTTCAGATATTGTGAGTGCTCTGTCATTCAAGGCTTTTAAAAAGAGGCTGGACAGCCACTTGTCTGAAATGGTAAGGTTTCCTGCTTGAGCAGGGGGTTGGATTAGAAGACTTTGAAAGTCCCTTCCAACTCTGTTATTCTGTTCTGTTAACCTACATCCTAGACAATGTGTCCCTAATGCATAAATACTAAACTTGTATTTTAGTCTTTAAAAGATGTGTGTAAAAGAACCTATCTTAAAATATGATAGAGAACTAATAGAGCAGAGACAGAACATCTTTACATGGTAAGCCAAACCATATACAGTACATTTGAGGTTCAGTATAAGTAATTTTTCCCTTAGAAAAACTAGATAATACACAACACTGACATGGATTTCAGATTTAGGGCATGTCAAATTTTTTAACTTTCAATTTCCAAACATTAGGGATGCTCAAAAGTTGTGATATGCCTTGGGGATTGTAAAGTTATTTTGATTACTTTAATATAATTGCTTGGTAAATAACTACATAAATATACCTTTTTAGGATTTTGTTTCTTTTATATATCACATAAATAACTTTCTGAAATTCCTCCAACATCAATCATCTGCTTGCTGTGATGGTGAAGGAGGTTAGAGAAAAGATAACACACGAGCCTGAGGGTTCCCTATATGCAACTTTGTAGCAGTATGTGTAATTTGAGTGTAGCAAAGTCTTTTGAGAATTAAACTAATGTATGTATTGTTATGAGCTCTGGAAAGAAATGCTAAACTACATTTAGTGTTAACAATGACTAATAGACTTTGCCACAGCCTGCAAATGCAGAAGAGGCTAATGATAACAATGGTTAATCATTGTTTTCCCAATTAGCCAAGTTTTATGGACTTGCATAATGCACCAAACCATAAGCTAATCACACCAATTGTATTTGCACACATCCCTATATTAGTTGGCTCTTTTGTAGCTTGATGTTTGCAGGCAGGTTATATAGCCCAAATGCCACAGCAAAACATGGCCATCAATGATGTGCAAATCCTCCCTTTCTAGTGACATTTGCAGTGGCTGGCCAGATCTTATTTTCAATTATATTTTCTATTTATGGGGCAAAAATACACTGGTGGAAAAAATGATGGTCACATGTAAAAAAGTAACAAGCATAAGGTCATAATGTCTAGACCACCTATAAAATGTCATGATTGAGGCAAGGGCAATTGCACAATGAAATCCTCATCTGGATATATGCAATAACAACTGCAATTCAATCCAATTATAATACATATGTTGTATTTTGGATTTCGGATTATAACAGAAGGAAGGAAAGTTTCAGTTAAGCTGACTAGAAAATTAATGTTTGACAACCATTATTTCTACCAAAAAAAAAAAAATTCTTTTTTTGCTACCAGAATAAATGGGCATCATGCTGGGAAAACAGGTAGCAGATCTTAGACAAAGTTCCCTGGCATTTAGTAATTATTTCTGCCTCCTTACTTTTTAAAGGGTAGGGCATTGTCTTAATCTGATCTTCAGAGGAAGAAGAATGGGCAGATTCATTCTGGTGAATGTTTTATTGTCTTCTCTGTGCTTGCAGTCACTAATCACGTTGCAAGTAGTCTTGTAACATAACATTGCAATATAGAAATAGCTTTTTCAAATTTTCAGTCATTGTTTTATTCCCCATCTCTTGATTTTCCATTTCTCTCTTATCCTAATTAGTCCTTGACACTGAATTTTGATATTCTATTTTTTCAGCAATATGTTCTTCCAGAACTACTAATTCCTTCCTTTTCATGTAAATCTGGCTGACAAGACCAGTCCTAGAAACTGGTATTGTTTTATTATATTAAAGTAAGTTAGGTTGGAAATTTTTTGAAAGAAATTAAGTGCATCTGAGAATTCATAGAAAGATAAATTCTTCCAAGACATACTAAGTCCATTTTTTGAATCTGCTTTTATGGCTTGGAAATCTTTAAAACTTATAGACTTACAAATTTATAAGGCAAGTGGCAAATTGTTAAGAGAAAAAAGCCATAAATTCACTAGTGTATTTACAGGAAATAATTCAGATATTTATTTGATATGTATGATATATACATGTAATTATTCCCACATAATTACATTAAAATTAAAAAATAATAAAAGGAGATACTAGGTATGTCTATGTAGTAGGAAATGCTTTTCACATTCCTCCTGGGAAAAACATGTAAATAATGTTTTGAACTCTCACTAAAATGAATGCAGAAACTCTTTTAAAATTCTTTTTTTTTAAAATATTGATGAACAGGAAAAGAAATATTGGTATTATTCTGCATACTTCAGCAATAAATAGCTGTAGAAAAGTGCCCCATCAACCAGAAGGAAATACAAGGTACAAGAATAAGGATTGAGTGCCATTTTTCCGAATGCCTTGCCTTTGCTGTGTTTAATAAATCAAATTCAGAAAGTTCTTGATAAATAGGCTTTTAAATAATGCCCGTCATTTCAGCAATAACACTTATCATTTGAACTGTGTTCTCTTTCCATTTCAGCAGTGGTCTGTACAGTAGCTTGAGGAAAAGCCATATCTGTAGTAATAGTTCACATTGCTGCCTTCTAGATACATTGGAACTTTAATTCCCAAATGATCAGAATTGTTGGAAATTCTGGAAATTGTAATTCTAATTTATCTGGAGGCAAATTGACATATATGACTGAAGCATATATTTTCCTTTCATAAATGTAGCAGCCCAATCACTTTTTTCCATACCCAGTTGGAAACAGGGTAATATTCTACACCAAGGGTGGGAAGTCTGCAGCCCTTCAGAGGTTGAATTACAATTCCTGATTGGTCTAGAGAGAAAATTATTTTATTTACCTATCTTTTAAGTTTAAAAAGTTCCAAAAAGCAATCAGAAGACAATGTGAAAAATAAAACGTAAATAAAAAGTATTGGGAAGAGATACTTTTGATAGAACATTCTCTCCTTCCCATTTATTTATTTCTCAACCACTAACTTCCAACTTCTCAGATCTTCACTTTAATTGACCCAGCATGTGGAGCTGCTCCTGGTTACTAATACAGCTCTTGAAGTAGAGATGTTACATAGGTGCACTGATTCTGAGCTTGTTGCTTCTAAATGCTCTTCAACAGCAGGCCAATGCAGAGTGCATTGCAGTAAACCTCTCGAGAGTTGGCGGGCTTTAGGAAATGCAGCCTTACATCAATAAATTCTGACAAACTCCAAACACTGTAACTGTCATAAATGTACATAGCTAGCTACTTAAACAGAGTATATGTAGCTCGGGAGTCCACCTTTTCTTCATTTGGTCAAGGGTGACATTTGCTATTTGAAGACAGTAGTTCATGAGAAGGTGAAGGATGCAGGGCTCAGTCTTACTCTTTTTCCTGATACCAGAGCCAAATAAACACAGGATTTCCTCCCTGCAGAGGAAACGGTGGTGTTTTCTTTCAACGGGAGAGTTTCACGGTGAGCGGAAATCTGGAAATATTGCAAGAAAGATGTATTGTTTGCACTGTCACCTTCAGAAACCCTTGACCCTGCCACTGTAACGTACCATGAGCAAGAAGCAAAGAACTTATTCATGCTAGCATTCAAGCTAGATGCTTGATTGGTTTTAAGCTGGGAATCTCTGAGTTGTATCCACATATCTTTTAAGTTGCCAATGTTGAGAAACACTGTTTTAAATCTATCTATTTAAAACATGCAGACTTGTTTTCAAATATATATTATTAGCTGATCACATGGTTCTAGTTTAAAGTACAGCAGGATCTTTTAGTGGAAGAATGATCAGCTAATTATATGATGCCACTTTAGATAACACACCATCTAAGAGTGGACAGTTGCTTCTCTTGAGGAAATGCACAAGGAGTTAAATCCTTTCCCTGTGTCAATCAAATTTTCAAGGAGTTTTCAGAAGAAAAAGTGGATTTCTTGAATTAAAGTCTTTCTGAAAAAGATTCCAGTGAGAAACTTCAGGTCAAAGTTACTCACCTGAACCTTATATGCTTTTTCTTAATATTCAGCAATATTGACACAGTATAGACCTTGCCAAGGATCGCTCCAAAATTTGCCATCTAGTGTACAAGCACATGCCTAACATGAAGCAGACTCTTGCACTGACTTGTAAATGGGATGGCATCCTGTTGTTCATGGAGAAATCTCACTGCAAGAGTATGAAAGACATGGGGCAAACTTTGTATTTATAAAGGTTGCCTGGAGCTGTGCAGTGGATAGCTTGAAATCTACTTTCAAATTTAGCCTTTCATAATCCTGAATTTGTGTTGGGTGTCTTAGTTCTCACAATTATCTTTTTTTTTTTTTTTTGCTAGGTTGGTGATAAGGTGATGATTATGGCTCGGTCAGGTCTCTGGCAAGAAATTGTGACAGTCCAAGCCAATCAGACTTTTCTCATGCCGGAAGGTATGAGCTTTGAGGAAGCAGCTGCCTTTCTGGTCAATTACATCACTGCCTACATGGTTCTCTTTGATTTTGGCAATCTGCGCCCTGACCAGAGTGTCCTCGTCCACATGGCAGCAGGTAACAAAACCTGTCCTACTGTTCTTGCAGTGTATTGCTGATCTGCTTGAGCCAAAGGTCACTTTCAACATGGACCTTGAAGTCTTCTCCTGCTCTACAATACTAATGTATTGACACTCATATATCACATTTATAGGTAGTCTTTGATTTACAACAGATTATTTAGTGAACATTAGTGAAGTTACAACAGCACTGAAAAAAGTGACTTCTGACCATTTTTCACACTTACGACTGTTGCAGCATCTGCATGGTCATGTGATCAAAATTCAAGTGCTTGACTCGTATTTATGATGGTTGCAGTGTCCAAGGGTCATGGGCTCATCTTTTGCAATCTTCTGACAAGCAGAATCAAAGCCAGATTGATTTAACAACTGTGTTACTAACTTAACAGTTATAGTGATTTATTTAATAACTGGGTCACGAAAGGTCATAAGATGGGGCAGCATTTACTTAACAACTGTCTTGCTTAGCGATATGAATTTTGAGCTCAATTGTGATCATAAATCTAGGATTACCTGTACTGTATATCCCACTTTTCAGAATGTTTATGTGTTGACAATTTTTACCTCTTATTTTTAATTTATTATTCTGTTGGGACATTTATTTGCAAGTATTTTACTTTTTTGTGCATCTTTTAAGAGATTTTTAGATAAAAGGTACTAACATATTTTACATACAAGTAAAACAAGTTACATTATGGAAAAGTATCTGGCACAAGTTCATATAAATTGGATTTATGCATTTGTGCTACCAAAGTAAGTTTATTTTTGATTCATGAGAATTCAATTTTTGTGGTTTTTAAATTATAGTTTATGACTTAGAATGCTCTGTGAATCAGCTACTTATGGCTTATTCACTAAACATGGCTTAAAAATCAAGGGTGTACATAATGTACAGATAGTCTTTGACTTAAAACTATTAATTTAGTGACTGAAGTTATAATGGCATTGAAAAAATCTGACTTACAATCCAGTCTTGCATTTAGGACTATTGCAACGTTGCCATGGTCATGTGATCAAACTTTGGTGCTTGACATACAGCATGTACTTATTGCGGCATCCTCTGGATTATGTCACCTTCATTTGTGACCTCCCCAGCCAGCTTCTGATAAGCCCTGTCAATGGGGGAAGCTGAATGACCACATAACCCTAACAACTGCATGAATTCACTTAGCAATCATGCAGAAAGGATCATAACATTGGGCGTGCTTAACAGTGGAAATTCTGGTCCCAGTTGTGGTTGTAAGTTGAAGACTACTTGTATAAAGTCAGCCATCATAAATTTTATGGGAAAGGGGGATTGGAAAACTATTTTTTCCCAGTCATAAAGTGGGTTCATAATGGTGTTAAGTTGGATGGGCAATCTTGAATCCCCATAGTAATTTTCCTCTGAACAAAGGAATCTCTCTTTGATTATAATGGGTAAAAACTGATGGCAAAGTTTCATCCCATTTTGAAATGGAAACATATATAAATACTGATATCCATCTTACAAAGGGCATTTAATAGTTAAAAAAAACTCTATACACCTAGCAGCACTCTTATGTATACTTACGTGTACCGTCAAAGAATGTGGCATATGGCCCTTGGTCACAGAAACATTGCTACCTCATTCTGAGGTACAGTTTCTTTTAACTTTGGTTTGTTGAACATAACATAATGGCCTGTTTCTACATAATGTTATGGGGAAAAAAGTTTATAAGTCACAATAATTGGATTTATAATATTGCATGGTACAAAACTAATACATAGTTGGATAGTTTGTGGTTAGCCCATAGCCATTGTGGTTACTATAGTTAACAATTCAGTGTATTGTGAGAATCTGGCTATTGGGTTAATTAAGCAAATAATGGCATAAAGATAAGCTGTTTTGTACCTTTTCTTGGTGTACATTAGGCCCCCTGCTTTGGACTATTTTTAAATAAAGCTTCCCTTATTATTCTTAATGGAATCTGATATACTGCAAAGAAAAACAGCAGCCACAGTGTTTAAGCTTAATGTATTATGATTGGCTAAACCTACCATAAGCAGCTATTTATGAGTGGATCTCAGGCACTTTAAAGTTCCAGGTATGTTACCAACCCCCAAAGTTTCCTCTTCTTGCTTTAGTTTTTATGCAAATACAGCCACCCGGTTCGCTATATGTTATATAAGAATGTAACATGTGATATGTTATATGGAACATGTGATATGCACCAATTAGTGGTGGGTTGCTCCCGATTCGCACCGGTTTGCAAGAACCGGTAGTAAAAATTTGTAGTAGTTCCGAGAACCGGTAATATCATTAGCTGGCCATGCCCCCAAACCAATCCCTGGCCCAGTCGCTGCTCCCTTACCCCGCCCACTCATCAGAGGCTTTTTTTTTTTTTTTTTACTTTTAAAAGCATTTTTTCTACAACCTCTTCGGCCAAAAAAATGCTTTAAAAAAAAAAAGCCTCTGATGATCCCGCGGCTCAGCTGGGATCAGCAGAGGCTTTTCAAAGCATTGTTTTCTGCAACCTCTTCGGCTGAAGAGGTGGTAAAAAAATGCTTTGAAAAGCCTCTGATGATCTCAGCTGAGTTGCCTGATCAGCAAAGGCTTTTCAAAGCATTTTTTTCTGCAACTTCTTAAGGTTGTAGAAAAAATCCTTTTAAAAGTAAAAAAAAAAAAAAAAGTTGGCCATGCCCACCGTCACATTACCCCCCACCAAGCCACACCCACAAAATAAGCCACACCCACAGAACCGGTAGTAAAAAAAATTAGAACCCACCTCTGGCACCAATTGTATGGGTAAAGGTCAGAAATGATATGGGATTGATCCAATAGCAGCTGGATGTTTGTTCTTATTCCAAAAAGTTCTACTCATTCACAATCTAGCCAACTCTTGGGGATTATGGTAGGGAGATAGTTGGGACCATTAAATAGCATCAAATAGCTTTCCTTGTGTCCTTGTGAAGACAACCAACAGTGTCGTCTTCATGCTTTGCCCATTTTATGGTACTACTGAGAACATCTTCCACTGATTTAACTTTGATTAAGTTACATGGAAACATGTAAGTTTAGTGAGGATAACCCACGTTGACTCTTTTAATGAATGGAAAACTTTGCATTTTTGGCGGGGGGGGGGAGGCTCATGGGCCTTCTTCATTCCTCACTTGACCCATTTTCCTCTCACTCTAGGTGGTGTGGGAACTGCAGCCGTCCAACTCTGCAAAACAGTGGAAAACGTCACCATTTTTGGCACAGCATCTGCTGCCAAGCATGAGGCCCTCAAAGAGAATGGAGTGACTCACCCTATTGATTACCGGGCAGCAGATTATGTGGCTGAAATCCGAAAAATTTCTCCCAAAGGTTAGTAGAGGCTGAAAAAAGGGTGGAGCAAGATAATCTGAAATTTCCTTCATTTTCTGTGCTCCTGCTCAGGTATTATGGGAGCTGGAAAAAAGGTGCTTGATGAACTGGCATAATTTCAATTATTTATTATTTAGAGTTTTAAGTTTAACTTGCAGAACATGACTAATTGTATGAATTGAAACAAATCGGCTGAAATGTGCAGAAAAATGTCAAACGAAGTATGGTCGGGGTAGTGATCAGGATATCTTTACTACCGATTCGCAACGGGGCCGTGCACACTTCTGCACAGAAGCTTCTACAGATGTGCAGAAGCTTCTTGATGATATCGGGGTCGGTGGGTGGAGACTCCAACCGGTTTTACTACCGGTTCTATAGAACCGGTCCGAACTGGGGGCAACCCACCACTGGGTTGCCCCCAGTGGTGGGTTGCCCCCATCAGTGATGCTGATGATGGGATTGAGTGTCACTTCAGGTCTTAAACTCTCTCTCTTAGGGATATGTTGCTCTCCAGAGTTGGCAGCTCATATGTTATTTTATGTACTTTTATTATAACTGCAGCCCAGCTTAATCAGGGCCACCTTTTTAATCAGGTTAAATAAATAACTTGAGTTGGTGGTGCTTTGTAGAGCTATCAATCTAAATTAATTTTTCAAGGGTGGAGGTTAGTGGATTCATTCCGAAATCTGCTCAGGCCAGACCTTTATCAGGACTAACAAAAATATATCAAACTGGGAGCAAACTGTAAGATCCAAGTGTTACTAGATTTGTTCCCTCTGTGTAAGAATGGTTAACTATACTGTGTGAATATGCTTTAATGCAGGGGTGAAATGCTCCTGGTTCGGACCGGATCGCCTGATCTGGTAGCAATGGAGGTGGGTGGTTCGGAGAACCGGTAGCAAAAATCTCCGCCCCCCCCCCCCGTGCCCAGCTGAGCCGTGCGATCATACAACCTCTTCGGCCAAAAAATGCTTTTAAAAGTAAAAAAAAGAGAGCCTCTGATGATTGCACAGCTCAGCTGGGATCGTCAGAGCCTTTTGAAAGCATTTTTTAACAACCTCTTCGCCAAAGAGGTTGTAGAAAAAATGGTTTTAAAAGTTAAAAAAAATGGCAACGCCCACCCAGTCACATTACCCTCCCCACCAAGCCACGTCCACAGAACTGGTAGTAATAAATTTTAGATTTCACCACTGCTTTAATGTCTGGAATGACTTCCTATCTAACCTTAGGTACAATTCAGTCTTATTTGGAAACACTTTTTGGATTACAATTCTATACATGGAATTGAGGCAAATCTGAGTTACAGAGTTCATATTTCAATCTAATATGTAGTCTGCCCCACACATTATTTATAGTATTTTTCTATTGTATGTTTACATATAGCGTTTTTTGTGTGCGTCATGGTTTCAGTTTTCCCTGTTACATATTTTTACATTTCAGTAGGGACATGTTTTAGCTAGAAATGGCATATCCAATTTCTTACATTACTGTTAAGTTGCTAATGGTGTATTACAATATATTAGCCATAAGAATTAGTTATTCAATTTTTATTAGTTATCCACTCATATTTTAATGCTTATATTAGTTTTTCCTTAATCTCTCTAATTGCTATATTCTTTTAAATCAGCATTATTTGTTTTCCTTTTTTCTTGAAATTATTATAATGAAAGAAAAAAGGGAAAAATTGAAATCATAGTTAGCACCCATAGATTTATTGGTAGATGTATAGTAAAAATAAAGAGAATATGAAAAAATTTTATGGATGTTCTGCTTATAGATTTATGGTTGACTGAATAATAGATTTGAATAAATTATTAGTTTATATTGGAGACTGATTTAATTTTTTTTACCAAAACTTAACAATAAAATTAAAAGTAACTGAAATTAAAATTATTGAAACCTGGTTAGACTGAAAATGTCACATGGGGAATTTTATTTCATTTCAATTGAAATTTCCCATTAAATAATTTTTGTTTTCTTCCCCCCCCCCTCTTTTCTTTTTTAGGTGTAGATGTTGTTTTGGACCCCTTAGGAGGTTCAGATACCACAAAAGGCTTTCATCTCCTGAAACCAATGGGCAAACTGGTCAGTTATGGTGAGTCAGAAAGCATTCCATCAAAGGATGATGGAATTCATCAGAAGTTGAGTCTCGGAATCTTTTAAATCCCAAAGATTAGATCTGGAATTTGAGAATAAGTGTGCCTAAATAAGATCACTTTGCAGTATCAAGAATCATTCTCTGAAATTCAAACAAAAAGTAATGATAAAAGAGGTCTGGTTTTCTGGATCAAGCTAAAGCTCTAATAGTGGTTAGCTGGATGCTTTAGTGAAATTTGTTCTTTTTAGATTTTTTTTTCCTGCCTTTATTATTTTTCCTCAATAACTCAAAGTGCTTCCTCCTCCTACTTGCTCCACAACAATAACCCTGTGAGGTGAGATGGGCTGAGATAAAGCAAATATCCAAAAGGCACCCTGCTGGCTTTCATGCCAAAGGTGGGACTAGAACTCACAGTCTCCTGGTTTCTAACCCAGTTCCTTACCCATTTAAAAAAGTGTGTGTGTGTGTGTTTGTGTGCACTTTGGGAAAGGAAAATCTTTCCCCAAATCCCATCCTTGCAAGCTATTATTCTGCTATTGAGATAGAAATAAACTTTCCTCTGCTTATATAGAAGGCAGGGGTAGATTAAGTTGGACTGACATATACTGGTGTAGCCTAGAATGTACTAATCTTCTTGCAGATACTTTATTAATCTTCAATATATATAAAAAAGGATCTATGTATATATATATATATATATATATACACACACACAATCCAGCAGAGCTCTGGAACAGCTCGAGCAATTTCAACCAAACTTGGTACATAGATGACTTATTCTCTGGAAACAAATACTGTGTGGGTAAGATACCCGGGGATGTGTGTGTGTGTATGTGTGTTCTAGCATAACTCTGGAACGGCTCGAGCAATTTCAACCAAACTTGGTACACAGATGGCTTACTCTCTGGAAACAAATACTGTGCGGGTAACACACCCCTGGTGTCTCTCTCTGTCTCTCTCTGTGTGTGTGTTCCAGCATAACTCAGGAACGGCTCAAGCAATTTTAATCAAACTTGCTACACAGATGACTTACTCTCTGGGGAAAAAAGTACTGTGGGGGTAAGACACCCCTGGTGTGTGTGTGTGTGTGTGTGTGTGTGTTCCAGCATAAGTGGAACGTCTCAAGCAATTTTAACCAAACTTGGTATACAGATGACTTACTTTAGAAAAAACTAGTGTGGGTAAGACACCCCTAACAACCCTCGGCGTGTTTGTGTGTGTGTGTGTGTGTGTGTGTGTGTGTGTGTTCCAGCATAACTCTGGAACGCCTTGAGCAATTTCAACCAAACTTGCTACACAGATGACTTACTCTCTGGAAAAAAAAATACTGTGGGGGTAACAGTATTTACCCCCCTAACACCCTCAGTGTCTGTGTGTTTTAACATAACTCTGGAACAGCTCAAGAAATTTCAACCAAACTTGGTATACAAGACGACTTACTCTCTGGGAAAAAATACTGTGGGGGTAAAACACCCCTAACACCCCTTGGGTGGGGGTGGGGGTGTCTGTGTGTGTGTGTGTTCCAGCATAACTCAGGAACGGCTCAAGCAATTTCAACCAAACTTGCTACACAGATGACTTACTCTTTGGGAAAAAATACTGTCGGGGTAAGACACCCCTAACATCCCTCGGTGTGTGTTTGTGTATGTGTGTGTGTGTTCCGTAATAACTCTGGAATGCTTTGAGCAATTTCAACCAAACTTGGTACACAGATGACTTACCCTCTGGAGACAAACACTATGGGGGGTAATACACCCCTAACACCCCTCTGTGTGTATATGTGTGTTCCAGCATAACTCTGGAACACCTTGAGCAATTTCAACCAAACTTGGTACATAGATGACTTACTCTCTGGAAAAAAAAAATACCCCAATGGGGGTTGTGTGTAAATGCGTGGGAGGCCGAGGGGGATTAGGATGAAAAGATACCCAAGCAGTGCCAGGTCATCAGGTAGTTAAATTATAAGGAGCACACATTCCTGATAGAAGAATGCAGTTTTGGAATGAGAATTGTAGCTTGCTCCTGTGCTGCAGTACTTTGCATTTAAAGAAAAAGCCATTTTGATTTTCAAGGCATAGTTGCCAGAGTTATTATATTGATGGATCTCAAACAGGGTATTTCTCAATTTTGTAGGTGTAGCCAACTTGCTAACAGGGCAGAGGAAGAACCTAATGGCTATGGCAAAGACCTGGTGGAATCAGTTTAGCATCAATGCCTTGCAGCTGCTTCATCTCAACAAAGCAGTTTGTGGCTACCACCTGGGCTACCTTGAGGAGGAAGTGGAGCTTTTAACTGCTGTGGTGACCAAGCTAATTGCTCTCTACAATCAGGGCAAAATCAAACCAAAGGTGGATTCTGTTTGGCCCTTTGAACAGGTGAGGATGCTTGGCCACCCAATGAGTTATTTTGTGTTCCACAATAAAAAAAAATGCTGTCTTTAGCTTAAGTTATTCCCCTACAAAGAACTGACATCATTAGAGACTTCAACCCTAGCAATTATCCCCAAATCCATTTAGTGATTTCAGAATGTTTGATGTCTAATGGCCATCTGCCATGCTCTTATAATGTCCAGTCAGTTGAATGTCCAGTATATAAATCACATTCACTTGGTTGGCATTTTAAATGCTTGGGGGAAGGCAGATTCATTAAAAAATTCTGGCAGTCTTTTCAAGGGCAAAGACACGAAAAGAAAGTATAAAAGGCAAAGTTGTGTTAAAGTTTGTGCAAAGCCTTCTTTGACTGATTTTGTATTTGGCCTTCTGATGACAGGAAGTATTTTAAAAAGTGAGTAAGCAAGTAAGTGGCTGAGTCATTTGATCAACACTCCCTCTCCCATGTGTACATGCTTCTCTTTCAAGGCAGATATAACCAAAAAAACAAACTCCATGTCATGTGTGACTTTAGTGAACAGTGAGTATATATTAAAAAGAGAGTAATGAGTACAGATAATTTAGAATGCACCAATTTGGGAAAGTCTGACATGTACCCTTGGATGCATTCTCCTTGGTCATATTTCTTGAGGTAGAAAGAATGAAATGGTCTGGTCCTTCTCCTGATGCAGGTGGTTGATGCCATGAAGCAGATGCAAGAGAAGAAGAATGTTGGGAAAGTTGTCTTGGTTCCTGAAGCTCCACCGAAGGATGAAAACAAGAAAACAGAGAATTAAAGCAAGGGGCATAGGTGAACTGTTTGACCTCAGGTTGATTTTGGGGGACCTTTTTTTTAACTGCCTCCCCTCCCCCCCACATCTGACCCTTGAGGGAAGTAGGAATGGACAGGTCTCTCACTGCTGTTAATGGAATAAGTGACTGAAGAAAAAAATGTCTTTTCTTGTGGTTAGTTGACGGTTTAAAGCTGAGGCAAGCTTCTGAGTTTCATAAAATTTTTACAGAGTGGAACTTAAAAGATTGCCACATCCCTATGAAATTATTGGTTGGTCTAGTTTAAAAAAGAAATTCAGCACTTCTTTTGCAATCTTGATATTTTGCTCTTAAAGGAACCATATAGAGAATTATCTGAAGTGAAAAGCATACAAGGCCAAACCTATCAATTGGCAATGTCTTTGATTTCTTGATCTTAAATTTTTGAACACACTGTTCAAAAATTCCTAGCTATGTTCTTTGTCTCTATGACATCTTCTGTCCTTAGCCATCCTTAGCTCACCTCTGAATACTTAATGATTAGTAAGTTTAGAGAGCGTAAAACACCCATTGTTTTATCAGCTATTGGCAGTTGACAGTTTCCATAGAAACAAATCTTTGAATCTGCTACTTTGGAAGGGCACATTTAACAAACAGAACACACTAGATATCTCTGCAGCTGGGGGGAGATGTGAGGAAGGGAATTTTGTCTCTGAGGTATTCATTTACCTTGGTGCAACAAAGCTACCACTGCTATATGAAAGTCCTCTGTGCTATCTAGGCAAAGCTCATATATCATATTTTTTGTCAAAATCTACTACAGAGAATGCAAGTATGGAAAATCAAGAAATTACCAGTGAAAGAAGCTGCAAGACTCCAAGTATGGCTTCTTTTGGAGAGAAACACTGACTGTTTCCATTTAATGGGTTAAATATATATTTAACAGTACTAAACAGCTGACTAGCCTGTAATATCAAAAAAGTGATATCATGGTTGCCATCTCTGGCTTGTGGCTTGATATGAGGCTGCTCTAAGGATTAACTATAAAAACAACAGAGATGTCCTCAGTCAAAGATTGGAGAAATACTTTAATAACCTTATTTTCTCTTACAATTGCTGTTTAACTTAGAGACCCAAAATATCTAGATGGGCATCTGTGCCTGTGATTTGCAAGTTACATCAAGGATGAATATAGTTTATGCTTAAGATTCACTGCAGATTAAATATTCTCTTAATATTTTTATGCTGTAGAGAAAGGGCAACAGGACCAATTCTGTACAAGAAACAGATTGGGCAGGAAATAGTAACAGATTTTTAGATTTGTAAGATTCTGCCTTGAAAAAAAATCGGTCTTTGAGAATGTTTCTGGAACTATTTCTGCTGAAGACCTTTTTTGCTGAATAGATTAAGTCTGATCCTATTTCATTCACCACCATTTTCGAAAGCTCTTCCTTGAAAATCTTCAGAGGGTTTTGGTGTATGTATGTCAGTAAATATTTTTGCTATTTTAGGAATTTGATCCTCAGAGTATTTCTCAGCACTTTGAATTATCCATTTCTAAAGTTCCTTCTCTTTCCAGGAGTGTTGCCAATCTACGTTGGGTGAGGCTGTTATCCCTCTTCATATTCCAGTAAACAAAATATCCAAGAAAAGACTAGGGTCCCAAGTTGCTTCCTTGGACTTTTCTTTTGATTCTCACAGTTATGGCAGAAAAATCCTAAATCTAATATTCTGTCTTTTATTGTCCTAGGAAAAAATACTTTCAGTAGATTGTATCAACTAAGCATTTTTCTTTCTGGCAGTTCTTTTTCTTTCACCCATCCGAAAGCCAGACATTTCATTACCTTAACTAGGTAAGTTAGCACTAATGATGTTACCTAGTTAGGGTAATGACACATCTGCAAGAAAACAAGCAAGTTCATAGAGCACCAAGAAACTCTCATTTCAACCCTGAACTACAAATATTTTCCTTTATTGATATATTTGTGACAATTGAAACCATTTTTGACATCCTTTTGGCCCATCAGCCCTTGATTGTTTATGTTATTTAGGGACATCTTCAGCTTACAATCTTTTGCAGAACTATGTTTATTTAGCATGTCTGTTTTGTGAATAGAACATTTTCACAATTCTTGCACAATGCTACAGCTTTTCAATCTTTAGTACTGCATCTCATTCCTGATACTTAATTGGGGGTAGTGGGAGAGAGATTCATTTTCTTAAAAAAAAAACCTGAAATGGAACCTCATACCTTCAGTGTAATATAAATATTTTCCTTCTCAAACATCCAATTGCTGAAATAGTTGCCATCTTGTGATTATGGAAACTATAAGACAATATATTTGCAAAATTCCAACTTGAGAAGGCTATTTTAAGACAGCTGTCTTCCTTATACAACTCTGTTCACCATTATGGTGAGTAACATAACAAAGGAGGCATCTAGTGCAATCACTGTGGAGAAAATTTGGCTTGGAATGCCAAACATTTCTTGGATAGTTCTAAGCAAAAGATGGAAGTTCTGGAAGTGATTATTCTTGCTTTGAATCATTCCTTTCATTATTTTGTATATATTAATGTTTTAAGATTGGTGAGTACATCATTTCTAGAGGCTCAAACAAAGGCTACCAAGCATTTATTTAATCTGCCATGTTCTTACTGAAAGATAATAACAGTACAGAATACCAATTAACTCATGGTATCCTGGAACTGGGAGGAACCAAAAGTTGTTGCTTGAAGGAGCCAATGCTCAATGCTAGAGCATGTGATTTTTGTGCAGGTAATTCCAAATCCAAGCCACGGTAGATAAAGTTAGGACAGTTGGAGGAAATGTTGGCCCAAGAACTTCCAATGGTATAATGTAGTATAAGACAGATTCCTAGAATTTCATACCTTATGGAAGGACAGCTGGCTAGTCATTTGACTCATTTAAGTCAAATGCAACTTTTCCAGTTTGAAGGCCTTCAGAGATATTGAACTTCAACTTTCAGCATTTCCAGCCAAGGGAATTTCCAGGTTCCGTATCTAAAGGGCATCGGGAGGAGGTCTGATATGCAGGAGATTCAATAGATATTGGAGACTAACCTAGAGCTCTGATTATCTGATGTGACCTTTCTTCTGCCACCTATTTTATACATATGTCCTCATACCTCTTGATATTTTTACCATTTCCCAGGACCTACCAAGGTACAATTGTTTATCTTCTAGTCTTAAGATTATAGGCCAACAGGAGCTTACAGATATCAGCTGTATGATCAATAGAGAAAATGAGTTCCCAATTTTCTGTTATTTTAAGCACAACATGGGGAAAAAAGTCTTGCACGATCAGCTGTGGTCTCCCAAGCTTTTACGAAATAAGGGGGGGAAAGGTGGGATGGGGAGAGAATCTACTGTAAAACTTCATGGGTTTAATTATTGGGTTTTTTCCCTCATGCCTGTCTTCTTGCTGCTGCCTGGTGCCTTACTTGGGATGGCATTCCAAAACATTTCTAACCTCATCGTTGTAAAACTGCAAGGAATAGCCTTGCCTTTAAAAGAACTTATATGCTGCATTGTTATTCCCAATTTATTGTGCCTTGTTCCAAACTGTGAGTAAGGTCTAATTCAAGAAGCCTTTGCCAATGTTGACTTGTTAAAAAAGAATGCCCCGTCCCAAGGAAACAGTTTGAAATGTACGTATGGCTTCTGTTCCTTAATCAATGAGGACATTTATATAATAGGATGAGTTGTTACAGAAATGCATACATTTTGGTGCTATTAACAGATACAATGAATTCTCCTAGATATGTTCATCCTTCCTTATGACAGCCATCAGACAATTTTTGCATAATACTGTGAAAGTGTGGTTTAAATCTCCTGACTGCTACTTCTGACCTTAATGGCTGGAAGCTATTTTTAAATTGAGTAGATGTATGGCTTAATGAACCTCTGTCACATGATAAATATGGAGAATCTGAATTCTGTTAATAGTATAATTTGTGGAACTTCCCATTGTTGAGAGAGAATTAACCTCTTTCCTGTAGTGCCTTTGGGAAGAGATGAGCCAAGTATAGTTTTCCATGTATTTCCAAAGGCACCACAAAGGGAAAACTGTTTTTAAACTAAAGCAGCAGCAACAGATGTCCTGTTCCCTTCCTGCAACCTTGCTCTCTCATGCTGAAATCTGACAGTTTTTAAATGTTCTTCCTGAACAGAAGAAATCTTTATCTTTGTGCTGAAGTGGATTTGTCTTACTACTACTCAGCTGTAGTTCTTTTATACAGAAAACATCAAATTTTAAAGCACTATAACTATACTCTTTGTTGCCTTGCTGATTAATACTGTAATCTTGAACTTTTTATCATCTCTTTTATTTTGCAGCTTGATTGTGTGTGTCTGTGTGAAGTGCATGCATGTATGTATTTCAGACAATGATTTTATGGGCCATTCGTAATAATAAAAAACCTTTTTGACCACCTCTCCCCCACTTTAAAATTAAAATCACTCGTCTTAACTAGTTAAAACAATGTGCTTAACTTCAAAGTTAAAAATGTGTTGGGATGGGGTGAGAGGAGAAATAGGATATTTTCTATTGTGATAAATGTTGTCCATAAAACAAAATACAACATTTATCACAAGAAACCTTTATTGATACATATTCTTGCAGAGTTCAAGATTTTATCATAAAACTCCAAAACGATGCTGCCTAGATTTCCATGGGTGTACGGCTGATAGAGCAGTTTAATTGAAAAAAGTGCCATATTTCATGCTCAGTGAGCAACATGTAGCCTGAACATTACTGAAGGCCTAAAGAGTGTATTTTGAAAAGCCTGTTTCTTAAGGGCTGAAGTGGGTCCTCAGTGGTATGAACTAACAGCAGCCCTTTTACATAGTAACTCCCACAATGTGATCTGGCAATTAATACCAGCTCACTTTATTTAGGGACCTCCTCAAATAAAGAAATGAAAGAGGCAAAGCTCCCTCAGGGAAATGATTTACAATGTGCCAAAGTTAACATCGGAGCTGTCTTTAGAGAGATTTCAAAATACTTCTTGAATGAATGAAATATCTCTCTAATTTTTATAATGTTCTCAATTATAGATAGCATAGTATGTGCTGTGGTGGTGGTGGTGGTGGATGGAAGGTCAATCAGAGATGTCTATGGAGATTCTCAGTCATCCAGGTCATGGTTATCCTAAAGGTGTTTTTTTCCCCAAAAAACAACTGGACTTTCTTGATTTTTTTCTTTGAAAATGTTTCACTTCTCATCCGAAAAACCCAAAAAATCCAGTTGTCTTTTGGAAAAAAAGCACCTTTAGGTCACAGAGAGTAAAATACCCAGAATGTATTATTACAAGCTTTACACTCCATTTGTAGACCCATTCTTGTCTTTGATTATCAGGATGACTGAGTTCAACTGTTCTTCAGATTTAAACATTTCAGAATTCTGAGTTCAGAGGTAAACAAATTCTTAAAAATTTGTTTCACTTTTTTAGTTTTAAGTCTCTGAAATAAAAACATTTAAAATATTTTCTCTCCGTTATCATCAATAAGCTTTTCCTTTTGTTTTCAAAGTGCATTTTGCATTTTGTTAGGCTTGGCTCACCAAATCCCCAAAAAAGTATTTAATTACCACTGGGAGAGATGTTAGTAATGAAGGCTAAAGCCAAGGTAATTGTGGGTCTTTCAGAGGCAGGAAAAGCTCTCCTTTTGTCAAGGCAGGCCTGTTTTATTTGCATGATTGTTTTAGTGTGATGTAGGCTTGAATGACAAGCAGTGGATATCCTGGCCCTGCAGAGCCAGCTGTGGAATCACCACTGTTGCCAAATAGAATCCCCCCATGCTAGGGAGATACTGATGATGAAAGGCTGTTGGCAGTGAGGGCAGGCTGCACAGTCCCTTCACACCTGGTGACAGCACCTGCCCACCCCCTCTGCTTTGGTTGGTCCACAAACAGCTTTTGTGTCTTTATGGTTCAAGATGCTTTTTCAAGTCTTTGTGGTGTTTGAAAAGAAGTCCTCTTCTGCTTGCGCCTGCGTGTGTGCCTGCGTGTACGTGTGTATCAACAAAGCAAATGTGCTGATGCTGTTTACAGATTCAGACATGAAATTTCTAGTCTGCCTACTGTTACCATATGCCTTATGTGTTTCTTGGGTGTTCCATTAAAAGCATAACAAAAATGAAAAAAATTGTCCTGTGATTCTCATCTTCCTATTCTTTCATAGTTTATGTGTGTGACTTTCCCAGCACATGGGAGAGTAATTTCATTATTAGGGTTTTCTCAGAGCTTCCGAGAGATCTAGGATGAAGAAGGAAATTGATATAGCTGCCTGGAATAGTTTAAACTTGTCTGATCACCCCAGTTTAAACAAAAGGGAAATTAAAATGACAAGTTATATATAAGAACAACTATATGTGAAGAAAGGCCTTTAAGAACTGAGGAACCTGGCATCTAAATCCATCCCTAGTGATCATGCTGTTGGTAGCTGCTAGACATTGTAGCTCAGCAATATCTGAGTGACTACAAATTTCCTGCCCCTGACTTTGTGTGATTTGGTTTACATAACTATTTCCTGAAAATGTTTTTAAAAACAAAGCTACCGTTTGGAAGGGAAAAGGACATAATTTATTTGCTTTTGCATTCTGAACAGATCACAGTCCAACCTGGAACTTTCTAAATGCTAAATCATGTTGCAGTAGGAAGTTATGGTCCCACTTTATTTTATTAAAATAAAATCTCTGCAACATTTGTTATTCAATGCCAGCAGAAAGTGGAGAAGGTTCTGAATAAAGTGCCAAGTTTTGCACAGAAGCAGAAACTTACTGTTTGCAACTCCTGGAAATTCATAGTTACTAGCAAGGATAAGGATACTAGCAAGAAGAAAGGATACTTTCTTCTTTCTTCTCTTCTGGGAGTCAGTGTCTCAAAATGTAAAATGATTCTGCTTGCGTCAGCTGCACCTAACATCACAATGTGATTTCCTGTGTCTACTTGTCTTTTAAAGTAATATCTGCACTGGGGCATGGTATTTTCATTTAGAAGAAAAGCTGCTATTTTCCCCTTTTGCATAATTGCTTATGTCTACAATTTTCAGCACAATATCCAAAGGCAATTGTAGAAGTACATTTTAATTGAAAAAAAACATTGGAGGAAACTCCCTTAGACTTTGACAAATATGAGGAATGATCTAAATAACTAAAACATCACAAGATACTAACAAGGCAACTTTAACCATGTTACAATCCTCTCATGTGATTCTTTTAAATCCATGTGACGTCTATATGTACTTGGCTACAGTACTTCTCTGGAACAGCAGATGTCAAAAATGCTTTGGTCTAAAAAAAATACTTCCTGATATATCAATTATTTGCAGAGAGAGGTGTATTTTAAAAGGGAGGCATGCAAGTACTTGTGTAGATGCTGTTAAGATGGTAGAAAGCAGGGCAAATACTAGAACTACACAGAGAAATATAGCCCTCAAAGCTGGGAAATTTAAAATCCTGTCCCCATCTAATTGTTAAGTTAAAATTAAGTCTTATGTAGATAGACCAGTTTAACGAAAAAGTCAGTGTTGGATAAGTTATACTTTTAATTGCCAAAACCATTGCCAAAAGAAAAAAAGGGGGCTGGCACTTATTTCATCCTGATGCAACTTTATTAGTTGGCTAAGTAATGCTCAGTGTTATGTCAAAGTCTTGCTGGATATAAATAAAGGATTAAAGGTCAAGATATTATATACCCAGAGATAACAGTGGTTCAACTTTCCATTTGTTTCTGGATAAGGGCATGGGGTTGAAAATGAGGCACTGATATCCATGAAGGGTAGCATTTTTAGAAACTGAAGAAATGACGTAATATCAGACTTGATTCTTCACATAAAATAAAAGACTAGGTATAAAAATGTTGATTATTGTGTAACTAGTACTGTATTAGGATATTTGCCCTCTGTATGTTTATGCAATGAATTAAAAAAATAATTTTCTCCAGATACAGTGGAATTATGGAAGTAAAAATCATCATATCTAGAAGATTTCAGATTGCAAAAATCTAAACTACATTTACAGAACAAGATATGCATATTAAATCTACCTATTGTAAATTAGAAATAAAAAAAACCTTTCATATGGGCAGTCCCAAACTGTTAGACCCCTTGGCATTATGCAAATCAAGTGTGTTGCTAGTGACTATTAAAACTTTGTTCATTGTCTTTTCTAGTTTATAAGATTTTGGCAGGTTTTTCCTATCTCAAATATTGCAAATTATAACTCCTAGTGGCCTGTTATTTTGGCAAGCCACTGCTGAAAGCTGGTTCATCAACTGAAGAACCGGTTTCCCCAGTTTAAGTCTAAAGAATAATATATATTCATCATTTTTACTCAATGCATTTCATTATTTCTATTCAATAACAAAATTCTTGGAACAAATTTAAAGTCAAGGAGACTGCAATGTAAAGTCGCCAAAAAAATTATATCCTCAGTTCTCCTTAATTCTCACACAACCCTTTTTGTGTCCCCCCCACAACATTTTCACAGAACTGAGATGTATACATATTTGGCAATGGGCAAATATGATGGTTTCTTTCAAATCAATGTGTGAATATTAATACTACTGTGAAATATTTTGTCCTTCCTTTGATGAAACACATAACATCTTCTATTTTTCCAGAATCTATTGGTGGCTAGCAGCTAGGATTCCAATAATTTCTGCTTTTTTTTCTGCATAAAATATTTATTTTAAAATATAAAATTAGTGGACCAACGAAATACAATGGACATAGTATACTTGGATTTCAGTAAAGCATTTGACAAAGTAGACCACAACCTCCTTAGGTAGGAAAATGTGACATAAACAGCATCACTGGATGGATTTGTAACTGGCTGACAAACCATACTCCATGTGTAGTCCTTAATGGATCTACATACACATGGAAGGAAGGAAGCAGTGGGGTACCCCAAGTACTGTTTTAGGTCCAGTATTCTTCAATATCTTCACAAATGGTTAAAATGAAGGAATAGAAAGGGAACTCATCAAATCTGCAGACAATACTAAATTGGCAGGAATAGCTACCCCAGATAGACTTGAGTACTGGGCCCTATCTAACAAAATGGAATTTAGTGGAGAGAAAAGTAAGGTTTTACATTTAAGAAAGAAAAACCAAAAGTACAGCTGTCGATTGGGTGAAATCTTGCTCAATACCAATAACTGTGAGAGAAATCTTGAGTCCTAGTGGACAATCATTTAAATATGAGCCAGCAGTATGTGGCAGCAGTCAAAAAAGCCAATGCAATCCAAGATGCATTAACAGAGGCACAGAATCAAAATCATATGAAGTATTAGTACCACTTTACAAAGTCTTAGTAAGACCACACCTGGAATACTGCATGCAGTTTTGGTCACTACATTATTAAAAAGATGTTGAGATTTTGGAAATAGTGCAGAGAAGAGCAACAAAGATGATTATGGGTTTGAAACTAAAACATATGATGAACTATTACAGGATGGTCTGGCTAGTCCAGTGAAAAGAAGGACCAAGGAAAACATGATAGTGTTCCAATATTTAGGAGGCTACCACAAAGAAAAGGGGATCAAATCTATTTTCCAAAGCAGCCGAAGGCAAGACAAGGGGGGAAAAAGATGGAAACTAATCAAAGAGAGATCCCACTTAGAACTAAGGAAAAACATTCTGACAGTGTGAACAACCAACCAGTAGAATGGCTTGCCTTCAGAAGTTGTGGATGCCCCATCACTGGAGACTTTTAAAAAGAGAATGGACAGCTACTTGTTTGAAATAATTGAGCAGGGGACTAGAAGACCTCCAAGGTCCCTTCCAATTCTGATTATTCTGTTCTGTTCTGTTCTATTAATTGCTTCTTTTGAAAAGTCGCTGAGGTTACAGTAGGCCCTGTCTGCTCAATAAGCTTTGTTAGGTTGAGTTTATATAACAAGCTTAAGGGGGTTGGAGTGAAGATGTAGATGATTTGGTATGTTATGGGAACAGCTCAGCTTAATCTGTCCTGGGATTAGATGCTGTCTTTAACTGGAAATAGTTCAGGCAGAATTGGAACAAAATCAATTTCTCCTTGATGTATTGGATGAAAAGTGGTTCCATTGTTGACACAGCGAAGAAATCATATAAAATCTCCCTTTTATTTTTCTACACTTTAGGAGAGAAAAGAAGCATAATTATGAAACCTATAAAGACATCCAAGATGAAAACAGACATAAAACTAGGAAAGTTTTTTGAAGAAGATCTGAATTCATAAGCAGTTTTAGCAAACTGCTTTGCTAAAAATGCCAATAGACAGATAGGAACTGATTCAGAAAAGATCAAAGGAATATACTGAAATTCTGTTTAGCAGAAATGTCAATACCAAGAACCTTAAAAAGTGGTTCAGCATTCTGATCATTACCAAGTGAGAAGACTATGGGAACTAATGGACACTCTATAGAAATATGACAAGCAACAAAAGAAAAGTCAGTAAAAACCATTTCAGCAAAACTAGAGAATGAAATAGTGGCTAATGGACTGAAAGAAGTCAATCTACATGCCAGTACAAGGAAAGAAAGGTTAGCAGAATCTGCAAACTATTGCATTTTATCGTTAATTTAATTTGTTAGGAAAATAATACTTAATATGATTTAATGCAGATTAGAGCCCAGGAAAATGTTCAACTTGGCTTTAGAAAGGACTAATGAGTAATAGATTTTATTCAGTGATGCACACTGAATAATTGAGAAAGCTACAAAATATCAAATATAAGTCAATATGAGCATCACTGGATTATAGAAAAACATTTGATTGTATTAAGCAATCAATGCTATGCTGAGAAAATCCCTAGGAAAATGAGAAATTTATTGTCCTCAAAACAAAATCAATACACGAGTCAGGAAACCCAGTTTGGATGGAACATAGTGAAACAGACTGGTTCCAGGTCAGCAAAGGTGTAAGACAAAGCTACACATTCTCCACTTATTTATTAAAACAACATTAGCATTAGATCCTCCCATGCTATGTAGCAGGGGTCCTCAGCCCCCAGTCTGTGGACTGGCACCAGTCTGTGGCATGCCAGCAATTGGGCCACACAAAGAAGTGAAGCCCAACTTGCATGATGCAGGCAGCACACAAAACCATGACCCCTCCAGCCTGTGGAAAAACCTCTCTAGTGTCCAAAAGGTTTGGGGCTGCTT